TGTCTGTACTCTTCGTGCACACCAAAAGTTATGTTAATGCAGAGAAAGGGGGAAAAGCTATTTCCGGGTGTATGACTCACCATCTGACATTCCATATTAGGAAGAAAAGTTGTTTATTTATTTTCGGCTTTGGTACGGGGAAAAATAGCGCGTTCATTACACACACACACAAAAAAAAGGCACTAAAAACAAAAAAATAAGGGCTTTAAAGAAAAAGTAAGCACCTATAAGGGCCCTTTATATTTTATTTTCAAATATAAGGACTTATAAGCACTTATAAGGACCGCTACGAACCCTGTCGAAGTAGTCGGTAGTTGGCGGTAAAACACGATGCAATTGGTGAAAAATTCTAAAATTTCAACAAAAATCACTAAAAACACTTGAAAAAGGGAAAAAAATTTTAAAAATGGATTACGATCGTAAAATCGTAAAGACAAACGCATTTTTGTAAAAATTACGAAAAATTCGTAAAAGTTGGCAGGTATGGCATAGTAAAGTGACAATGAATTAATTAATTTTATAATAAAACTGAGATCAGACCTAGTGGTATTTAACAATTTTTATTATCCATAATTCATTTCATTAAACAAATTCATAAACTTATGAGCTGTTAAATAGAAAGCTCCATATTCTTTGTAATGTATTTGGTCATCTAGAAAGTTCTGGGTTTTCTCAAATCAAAGAGGGTTTCCTTCTAATTATTTCATTACTGCTGATGTGCAATGACCTTGATTGATGCAGATGTGTAAATATGGTCTTTCATGCTCTCAATTTATAATTCCAACATGTGTTATTACCTAATTTTTGTTTTAGTGAAATGCTAAAAATGAAGAACCCCAAAGTTCATTTTATTACACCTTCTTATTTAAAAAACAGAAAAGTGCTATTAGTCTACTCATAAAATGTAGTCTGCATATGAACATAATGCTGTTTCTGATGACCAAGTTCAAAGGTGGTTTCAGAAATTTCAAGCACAAAAATGATGTCTGCTTTGGAAAACATACTTTGCAAACAAAGTCTTATTAAAAGAAGCTATCTCTCAAATATTCCAAAACGTTACAGAAGATGATCATTGAAGAAGTTTGGGCATCATCTTTCAGAGGGCAGAATATGTTTGCTTGAATTCTGGTATGTGATTCTTCACTAAAATGAAATAAAGAAATTAGTTCTTTGAACTAGTTCATTACTTGGGATGAGAAGAGAATACTATAAAATAGTGCTGCATGAGAAGGACCATGGAGAAAAACAAATGAACCTCCTTTTAGTAACACTGAGAGGCAGGCTACATCCCCAAAATATGTTGTTTCAAGTACAATGGGACTACAAAGGAATTACGTTTGCTATAAATTGCTGCCACCAACTCAGACATATTTTGAAAAAAAAAATAATAATAATAATCTGTTCCCAAATGGCAATTTTAAAAGCAGAAATTGAAACAAAGCACCCAGAACTGGCCAACTATTGAGGTGCTCTCTTCCATCAAAACTTGCTTAGCCCCTCATTTCGATTAATGTCAGGCAAATACTTACAGAGTATGGCTGATGGTTTCAATCATCAACCATATTCACCAGACCCTGCTTCCTTGGATTTTTAATTCCTCAAGTCACTTCAAAATTCTGAAAATAGCCCGGAATTCATTTCTTTGGAGAGTCTTATACAGGACACTGCTAATTTTTTATGAATAAACCTAATGACCTTTTTACAGAGGAATTTTTCAGCTGCTAGACACATAGCAAAATGTCAGAATAAAATGGTGCTTAATGTGATTCAATGAAATTTTGTGTTTTTGTACTATTCCCTTTATATTTAACATCAAAAATTAGAACTTTCCAGATGACACAATATGAAAATATTTACAAACGTGTTGTTAATAGTTACACTGTATATTACGTTTCAGATTTGTATTGTTGCACATTATTATTCATTTGTTTATTGTTTTATTATAATCTCAGGTTAGCTTATCATGTTCTGTATAACATATTTATTAGTGGCTACATATTCCATTGATTTCACTTGTTATTGCAATATTTATAGTTTAGAAAAATAGAAATCATGGAAATAGTTAAACAAAAAAAAAGATAAAACTATTTAAGTCCACAGAACCTTCATAACAAAACTTTACTGGCAATCTGGTGAAATTTAGCACCTCCCCCACAAAGGAAAAAAGGGGGTTAATGTTTTAGATTTCTTGTCCTTAGGTATTTTTAAAGCCCCTAACAGCAAGATTTCTTAAATTAGCAGCTAATGCAATTTGGTCCTTCACTTGTGGTATAAATACTGAAGCCATGAAACACAGAGTTACTTAAAAATTACTTTAACCTGCCTCCATACTGAAATGTGAAATTTTATATATTTTATGATTTGGGCCTCGGCTTTCAGAGATTTTGTATTTCTCAATTTGCATAGTGGAAAATCAGCGTTGTTACTCGTTAATTCTTTAAATATCATTACTTGATATCTTTTACTGTAAAAAATGTTATAGCTTTGTCTGCTATAAAAACCTCTTTGTTCATCCACACCCCTTTTTTTTACGAGAATTTTTATGAACTGCATACATACAGCAACAATAGCCATTCACACAAAAACAAACCAAATCCATAAAACTAAAAATGCATAACATATAACCAATAAACTAAGCCACAGTAGAAAACTTCTACATTATACAAAATAAAAGTAAAATAAAGATGCACAACATAGCATTTTGAAAACATCCTTTTCAATATAATCACATATAATTAAACATTTTTGTACTTTTTAATTTATAGGAACAGTTAGGCTATGAATTAATTTCAAAAGCATACTTTGAAACCCTTTATTTTAACTCCTTCAGTATGGGAGTGTCATATGTGAATCAGCAACAAACATTACCTCACGGCCGGGTGTGTAATATTTGAATCACCATTTAATTCACTCTACCGGCCAGGCATACCACATCTGACTTTTTAGATAGAATGTTTAATTAATATTTTTTGTTGCCGCTAAATGTAGCTGTTATGGGGAAGTATATTGAAAGTTAAGTATGTTTACCTTCATTTCTATGCAATGATTTTTATTTTTGGTATTTTGTTTCAGAATGAGAGTGAGATTCGTGGGTGGGTGTTGAGCAATGCAATATCTCTTTAACTGCATCACTTGATATAAACAAATGCACATGCTCTCGCTGCATTGAGGTACTTTTTATTTTTATTTTTGCAATATAGTGGGATAGACGTTCTATCATCAGAGTTCTTTTTTTTTTTCCTTTTTTTATTGGTCTTAGATTTTTTGTACTTTGAGATGAATATATTTCATCGTCAGTGAAATGTTTCGTTTTTTAATTGCAAACGAAAGCAGTATCTAAACGTAGAATATACACAATCGCTAATTTGTTAATGTTGAGTAATGTAATGGACTCTTACTGTGTCATTTTATATAAACAAATGAACATGTTCTCAATGCTCTGGAATACTTTTAATTTCATTTATTAATTTTACTTATTTATATTTTTTATCTCATTATAGTTCAGACGTTCTATCGTTACAACCCACTTTTTTATTACTCTTTGAGTTTTCCAGCATTGAGATGAATATTTTGTATCGCTAAGCGAAAGTTTTTTTTTTTTTTTTTTTTTTTTTTTTTTAAATAATGGCAAAATCAAAGCACTATCTGGCCGTAGAACAACACCGAATGCTAAATGAATCAAATTTGCTGAGTAAAATCGCAGCAGATATCATATCCTCCTGTGACTAATGCAACATTGGGCTTTGCATACACCCATGTTTCAAAGAATATCATCACTGTCTCATTTTGAAACATTGCTTACTTTTCATTGTTTGCTCGTTGAATTTTTATGAAAGACAGTTTAATATTTTTTAATTTTAATTGGGTGTTGTGTTAAATAAAATCTGCGATTGTTTGGATATTTTTCCATATATATTTATTTGTGGGATAAGGGGAAAATTATAATATTCTAGAATGAGTATTTTATCCCACTTTCCAGGCATCTGGTGTTATCAAAGGAAAGGCCTTTGGAAACGACTGGTTGACGCTGGTATATGCTGCCAACATCCATTAGGATGCCTACCACTGAGCCATCATAGGCAGTATCAAATGGATTGTTCCCGACTTCGGGGTCGCTGAAGGCATGTTATCTTCAGCAAAAAATCCCAATTCAGTCTTAATGGTGATGACCAACGCACAGGCATGTAGAGAGTGGTTCGACACAGCATTTTTCCTCGAGATATATATAGTGATTACATGTGGCGTGACAATGTGGGGAATGATTTGTTGGAATGCACGATCACCTCTAGTCGTCCTTCAAGGCACTGTACTGGCTCACAGTTATGTGGACGACAGTTTGATGCTGATCATATTGCCTATGCTATCAAGTCGCCCAGGTGCCATTTGTGAGAGGGACAGAACTCTTCAACACACTGCGCGACTCTCACAACAATTTCACGGCTATGGCGTACTCCCATGCCCTGCCAGGTCAAAACACCTCTTGCCAATAGATCACATTTGGGACATGCTTGGAAGGCAACTGCAGCCATCCTGGAAAATTGGTGAATTAACTGTCCAGTTGCAAAGATTATGCTATGACGTTCCGCAGGGGGCCACAGGTGACCCATTTGAGTCAATGCCATGCCATGTTTCGGCTTGTATAGCTGCCAGAGGTGGCTATTTTACTGATTTATAGAATTTTTCATGCCATAACTTAATAAAACAAACCTTTGTTCTGAACTTGTAACCATTTCTTTATCTCCTCATACACTACATACATGCAATGTTTTGTGAGAGTAATTCGTTTCCTTTTGGGTGCATATATTTTTTTGTGACAGAGTCTATACATATATCCACAAATACACACTTGCGTACAAAATTAAGAGAATTTGCAAATTATGTCCGTTTTCACAAAAAAGTACTAATTATGCTGTCAAAGAATTATGCAAATATTCGAATTAGAATACATAAGCATACATCTGTACTGCTGTGACTGTAGAGGGTACGTGCATGAGGGGTTTTCAGCAATTTGTTTGCTCATACTCCTTCACGACATTCACCATGTTTCCCCAAAGGGCTAGATAAATTTTATCAGGTAAAATAAGTAACCACAAGCGTATTGATGAACTGAGATGTAGAATTCCTGATAGAGTGGAGACAGGCCAATCACATATGGAAGTGGTTGCAAAGCTCATAGAAACACCCAGTAAAGTCTACAATAATCAGAAACAGTTTCAGAAACTGAATTCATAGCAAAAAGACTTGGACAAGGTCAACTACAAGACCCACAACAAAGAATAAGAAAAATTATTTTTGCACTTTCAGGGCAGTGACACAACAGCTACAGCTCCACAGTTTTCACATAAGCTGTATGCTTCTATTGGAACCAGAGTTTCACAGTCTACAGTTGCTTAAAGGTTTCATGAAATACAGTTGTATATCAGAAGACCCACTGTTTTGGTGCCAAGAATATGCACCTTGGACCAGACTTCAGTGGAGCACCATGCATTTTACAGATGAGTTAAGATTCAGGCTGTTCACCGATTCTCATTATACCTGTATCTGGAGAGAGCCTAAAACAAGATACCATCCCTGCCTCATCAGGGGAAAAAATCATTACAATGGTGGATATGTAATGGTGTGCAGACATTATGTTTCATGGACTTACATCCCTGTATTTGTTTGACAAAGGCTCCGTATTCAGGGTTCGTACACATTTCTGCACATGGAAATTAAGTACTTTTAAGGACCATTAATGAAAAAAAAATTAAGGACCTATGAGCAAATGGGAACTGAATAAATTCAATTAAAAATATTATGCTATACCTGAATTTCACTTTTGTAATACCATCCTCAAAAATAAAATAGATCCCTAAGTAGTATGCATTATTACTAAACATGAATTAACTAACATAATTATTAATAAGTTTGAGAATAAAATAAACTTCATGCAGTTTATCAAGTAGCATTACATATTTTACAGTTATAATATTTGGACATATTTAAAAGAAGATAAGTGACATTTACGTTTTACTAATAGTTAGCTTTATGCTTTCTTCCCCCCTCATTTTATCACATACTTGGTCAGTCTAGAGATTTAGCAAACAGTAGAGAGATTTTATGTCAAATGGCATAGGTTAACATGAGAAGTGAGATCATAATTAGCATCATTCATAACAAAGGACTGAATGTTGTCCTTCTGCTGCTTGTCTATAGAGATCTGCTGATTGGAACAAACCCGAAAGGCCTGATGTAAGCATGGTTGGCAAGTGTTGAAAGTTAGTCAAGCTCAACTTAATGAAGTTAATGTCATAGCTTTGTGTAGAGTTCCAGCGGTTGTAACCCAGTTAATATACTTTAAGGTTCCAATAAGCCATTAAAGCACCAGAGGTGATAAGTTGTTTTATATATAAGTCTCACTAGATGCAAAGAATAAGTTTTACTTGATGGTGTTACTTGATGGGGTGTTGGTTGATGGTTCTCCACACAAAGGATTTGGCGATTGGATCCTCTAAAAACCCCAGCCACCCTTTAAAAGGGGGAGTATATAAGGTATTTCTCCCACCTTTTTGGCGACTCTTTGTGGTGTAGTGGTTTGCACACTGGTAGCGGTATTCCAGAGGTCCGTTCCTGCATTCAAAAATACCTAATGTCTCTACAAGCCTTCCCAAACATTTTGGCTAGTTTATATCAATTTCCTTCTCTTTAATTATCGATCTTTTCTGATAATAATTAGAAATTTGTCTCAATATGCAAACCAATGTTCTCGCTAGTTTCTGTGTGCTTTATCTCCTAACTTGTCAACGTCTCCACAATGTACCTATGAGGGTTTACTTGATCTTGTAAAAGTTAAATAGTCCCCCCCCCGATAGACTTGAAGCAAATTATCACCATATCTGAAAGTAACTACAATATCAGACAAAGAACTTAGAACATAAAGGCATGTTCTAATGCTAACAAAATCAATTACAACTCACGGTGAGTTAATTAAACAAGAACAGTCAAATTCTAACTAAAAATGTGGACTAGTGACCAAAGATAATACAATTTAATTTAAATTTAATCTCACTCAGTAACTCTATCATATGAGGAAACAGAAATGGGAAGTTATAGTAAGGGCTGAAATGATAAACAATTGGGTAATTTACATAATAACTGCACATATCTTTGAAGAATAATTTTCTTTATGTATTTGGTTTCTTTCTTCAGCGTGTTTCCTTTTAATTTTTGAATTTTTGGATTTAATTAAGGATTTATGTTATTCTAAAAAACACTAAATGCATTTAGATAATGCAGAAAAAGTGGCTAATTTTATTTCTTTAATATGAACATTCAGAAGAAATATGAAATATATATGGTAAAGGCCGGTTACAGAGCTGGTGTGGCAGAAATTTTAGAATTTAGTGACACACAGAACAACAAAATCTAGAAATCCCAAAATTTTTAGAATTTAGAGCAGGCATTGGAAGCAGAATTTAGATGGGCACTAGGCAGCAGAATTTAGGATACACAGAGATTGCATCAGGTGGAAAAATGCATAGCACCAGCTCTGTGTACGATGCATTTAGACATATTAGATGAATCTTTTAAATTGTAAGTTTTCAATTTCTTTATTAATAAAAAAGTCTCTTTCTCTAATGCCTGCCCAAGTGATAAGATTAGAAGCATATTTGATGTTTTCCATGCTTTTGTCTAGTGAAAAGTAGAGAAAATAAAGGGAAGATAAACATGTTAAAGAAAAGGATTCTAGTATCAGGAGTAAAACATTCAAATAATTATGTTTCCATTGTTCTTCAATACGTTCTCCAAAAAGTAAGAAATTCATCGCAAACTTTCTGTAAAATAAAATGATCTATTACGTGTTGATATGTTGATACCATGGAGACATTTTTCATTTTGTCACATATTTCTCGAATCTTCTAGAATCGTGGGTATATAAATCTTGCCTCAAATCCTTCTAAACTTTCCATGCTGCGATGTCAAAAATACTAAAGAAAAATTATTCCAACCAATTCTGTAACAGCAAAAAGCCAAAAATATTTTGAAAAAAGGGGAAGGAAAAAGTGTAAAATTAATTTTATAGATAAAACTGATGCATATTCTGAGAATTTTGAATAATCTGAGACAATTACATGGGAAAACGCTTACTATGAAAAAATTAAAGAGAAGACATTTTATATAATTACATAGCTAATTTTGCTTTTACTAAGAGCTGTTTCGTAAATTATGCTTTATAGCTATATACCTTGTTTAGTTTCCAGATTTAAAATATTGCATAATAAGTTGCCAAAATGAAAACTTAAAAAATTTTTGCACAAAAATATTTTTTATAACACAAGAGCGAAAAATAAAAATGTTTTATTTTTAATGTTATTTTTTAAATATAATTTCTAATATACTGCCATTATTTTAATGAAATTATCAATGTTGATGATGTTTTAAAAACATCGCCGAAAAATTCTCAGATCTCGGGAATTAAAACTTTTCTATAAGAAACTGATCTTAAAATCGTCAAAATGTTGACAAGTTGTCAAATTTAGAACCATTTAATAAAAGAATTCACAACCCAAAAGCAAAAAGTTGTTTTTTCTCATAAAGTTTTCTTTGTGAGAAAAAATGAATTTCGAAATGCTTATGTTTCACTTCTTGCTTAGAAACTCAAGTATTCCATCATTTATATTAGAAATAAAAACAAATTATAACCCATTCAAACGATAACCATATACATCAGTGAATTGTTGAAAATATTCCTCCAAAATGCTAATTCACACTCAAAATGGCAGGCGTAAAAACAGAGAGAAATTTCAGATGATTAAAATTAAGGACCTTGTACTGATTTTGGCCAAAATTAAGGACTTTTAAGGACCAAAAATCGATTTCAAAAAATTTAAGGACTTTTAAGGACTCTTAAGGACCGTACGAACCCTGCTTATTGCTATGAGGTATAGAGAAGAGATGTTAGACCCTTATATTCAACTTTTCAGAGGCACTGTTGGTCGTGGATTCCTGTAACAGATGACAACGCTCATCTATATAGAGCACAGGTAGTCGACATTTACCTAGAAAAAGACGATATTTTCTGCATGAATTGGCCAGCCAGATTTCCTGACTTTTACCCAATAAAGCACACCTGGGACATCTTGGAGGGGAAATTTCATCTTGCCATTCTCCTTTAAAAGCCACATCTGAGTTGAAAACTGCTTAACTAAAGGAATGGGATCAACAACCACAGGAACTCATCAACTGACCACCATCCAGAATGCCGTCATTCTGTGTGACCTGTCTGGCTGTGAGAAGGGATAGATAAATTGTATCAAATATCAGGAAAATAAGTAGCCACAAACATATTAATGATATAATGTCCAAATCCCACAACAGACACATTTTCAGTTCAATATCACAGGATGGATTTTGGACATCTCTGTACTATGAATTTTCTGATAATCATGCGCATATAAGATGAGTTTTAAATGGTATATCTCTTTCTGTGTTCTAAATGTACATTCATTAAAATCTGTCCACTAGTTTTCATAAGTCCAACAATGTGCAAATTCTCTTAATTTGGCATACGACTGTACATTTATGTATTACGCACACATACACACATAGATATACATCAATTAATTTACCTGTTGACCATCTGAATTATGTATGCTAATTTCTCCATCTCTCTTACAAAACAAAGACCAATTTCCAACTACTAAGCGCGTTGCACCAGGAGAAGACAGAATAGGCTGACTAGGAGAACCAGTTTTAACTTGACTCCGAGCACGTTGCAACTTTTCTAAAAATTCTCCTCGATTCTCTATAACAGAAAACATGCTCAAATTTCATATACTAAACAAAGCATCTGCAAGAAAAACCATTTAAAATTTTTACTGCCCATAACCTTATTCAAGAATTCATGTACAGGTTCACTTAATTTTTTTTAAGACAAAAATTCTGTTTTCTTTTATCATTTATTTATTTTTTAAAGTATAGATGTTTAATTTATTTACACAGAACAGTACTTAAAAATCAAATCTGATATCTAGATGATAAAAACATTTTGAAGCTTTTTTACAAATATATATATGCACACACATACATACATATATTCAAAATTATTCAAACCATATATTTATTTAAATACAAGGTTCTTTCTGATTACACTAGGGAACAATCTGTAACACAATTTCTGATGTGTTCAATTTTTGAACTGTTTTAGAGTTAAATAAGCATGCTAATTTCAAAATTATTGTTAGTTTTCTTCTACTATGCCAAGCTTTTTTCTCGACAGCTTATGTGAACGCTCTCTGGGGCATGCACCATGGTAGAACTACTTTCAATACTATCCTACTTTCGATTAAGAGAAAATGAGTTTCTGAAATACTTTCAAAGTGATCATGGATTTGTGCATTGCTATAACATTCACAGTTTTAATAGAAAAGTTGGGAACTTCAGCCCATTAACACAATGGCGATTGTTCATGAATGGCTCAAAGCAAAGTTTGAAGTGTATTATGCTGCATAATGAAAATATATTTAGTGCAGTCCCAATAGGCCATTCTTGTTTGTTTGTGTAAAGAATATGAAGACATAAAAAGAGTCCCTGAAGTTTGTTGCAATATCATATAAACCAAAGGATCATCTGTACTGACCTTAAAATAGTCTACTTCCTTCTTGGCTAGCAATGCGGATATACAAAGTATCATTGTTTTTTGTGTATATGGGACAGCAGAGCTCATGAGAAACACTAGCCGCCAAGATCTGACCAGAAACCAGGTAACCCAAACATTCTACATCAGCCACTTGTCAACTTAAGCGAAATTACATTTCCATCTCTACATATAAAACTTGCTCTCATGAAATAATTTGTTAAAATTTTGCCAACTGAAGGAGACTGTTTCAAATATGAAATTTTGGCATTTCTTAGCCTGTTATTACAAAAGATTAAGGCCGGTGTGGTTGATGCTCTACAAATGTGGAAGGTCTTTAAAAATGAACATTTTTTTGGAACAATGATTAGAACTTCAAAAAGATTGCTTGGTTGGCATTCAAAAACATTGTCAAAGACTTTCTTGGAAATACACGAGCACGGAATTATAATGAATTTGTTGAACTTTTTGAGAACTTCAAAATACTGAGTAGCAACATGAGCATCATACTGCATTTTTTACAATTTGATAATTTCATGACAAATCTTGCTGCAGTCAGTGGCGAGCAGAGTGAGCAATACTACCATGATTTGAAGGTCATGGAGAGACGGTACCAAGGTATATGGGATATAAATATGATGGCAGATTATTGTAGAAGCGTAAAAGCATCAAGCGAAAATATCCACAGATTAAACAGATTAGAAAAAGCTACACGAAAAAATTTTTACCTTGATATGTACGTTTATCATTTGGTGAAAAACTTGGCATGGTAGAATAAACTTACTACTAGAAATACTATTTGCATGAACAAAACCTAATTTTCATTAACTACATATAGCCTTGCATGAATAAAACCATTCTTTGTGAATAGTATATTCGGTAAGTTTTCTCTTTATTTTCCTTTCTATGCATATTTGTAGGACTTTTGAGACAAAGAGATGGTATCCTGTAGCTTAAAAAGTTGACATGATAGACAAAAACTGAAGTTAGTTTCAGATTCAGAGCCCAAAAGTTAATCAAAAACAAGTGACAAATTTAAGACAATGAAATTGCTGTTCCTCAGTGTTATCCATCCACAAAAAGTATTCATGAAGCAATGCACTATATTGGCAAATAATGTATTATGTATCAAATTATTATTATGTATCAATCCTATGGCATCACCAAAATGTATTTATGTGATATCCCATGCACATAGACATATACAGCAGCTACGTATTTCAGTAGATACCGATTTCCGCCTTTTAAAATCCCCTTTTTTAATGAATCAATGTGACTCGAGTTTAATGGCTGATGTAAGAGACTTGCAGTTCTTCTGAAATACAGCATTCCATCCAAAAGTAGAGAATGCTTAAATTTGCATTCCATGAAGTTGCACTTATCAAATTATACATATATGTAATATGAAAAAAAAAAAGGAGGTACCATGCTTCGGAAATTGGTTTGCAGATAGCCGCATCTCATTTACAACAGCTATTTGTTTCATTTATTGTTGGATAAAAGCAAATACCCAAATGAAGTTCTCTGAAGAACTGGGTTTATCTTCAAATATAATTATTACAATTGGTGCAATTACCTCCAAAAAGTGTGCATGTCTACAAAAAAAAGAACAAAAAATAGGCCACAATGGATACATATTTGAAATAGATGAGAATCTAAGAAGTGCAAAAAATGCTGAATTTGTGCATTTCTGATTTTTATAAGCAAAAATCATATCACTATGTATATAGGGACAACAACAGCATGGTCACTGCCAAGTCCCCAAATTTCTGCTTTTCTTCAATTCTTTAAAAACTAAAAAGTTTGAAAACAGTTCGATTACTCTTTCATGGAATTTCCTGATTGACTGCTCTTTCTTGAGGTTCTTACTATGTTGCTATTTTGAAAATGGCTGTGGCTTGATGAAAACTTAGTTGTCAATGAATTGCTGAATTTTCACTAAGGGGTTGTGGATAATCGCAAAGTACAACTTCAGTAAGAACACCATTAAAATTTATCATTTATGACTACAGACAAAAATCTGATCACATTTTAGCACACTATAATAAAATTTTAAAAATATGATGACTTCATGATTAAGTATGATTTTTAGCATCATATTAGCAATATACCAAATATCTTCCAATTTACAAATATACATAAAATTTAGAAACAGAAAATTACAACCAGTACATGTAAATGTCACATACCAAAATTTCTTTCAATTTAAATATGTATGCACATTCTCTAACAGAAAACTACAGTTAGTAAATTAAATTTTATATAGAATAACTGACAGATTATTTAATTATTTGATTTATATTCAATACAAAACCATTTTCAAAATTGTTTAATTATACAGTACAAAGTCTGAGATCTCGAATCGTTGGGACTTTGCCTATTCCAGATTTTTAGATCATTAATTTAAATCTAAAAAAATGACATAATAGACAGTTATAGGTGTCACCTAGGCCAACACCTCTGTAGTAATATAGGTGACTGAAGTATTGATGTACCTAGTTAACTGGCAGATATGACATCATTGATACTTCACTTATTATTTAGGTCAGACAGAATGTCCCCCCCCAAAAAAAAACATGTGGGTGCTAAAGATGGTGCAGATATTACCGTATTTATGCGAATCTAATGCGCCATCGAATCTAATGCGCATCCCCATTTTAAAACTTTAAATAATAAAAAAATTGTTTGTCGGCGAATGTAATGCGCATCAATGATATGAGGAATTTATTGAATCTTATTTTACACAACAATGGATTTGTATATAAACTATCAATTAATGGTTTGATAATTTTATTTAAATTTAGATACCATATTTTATACAACAATGGATTTATACATAAAGTAGCAGAACATAGATTTACCCTATTAGTGGGCTATTGTCATGTTAAACAATCATTGTTAATTAGCACCGTATATAGTATTTTGTTATTAGTACTGTATATACGGTACCTATCGTAAAATATGAGCATGAAATAAATCGTAACATTTCTATCTAGCTAACAGTTTCTACAATCAGTGCTTAATAGTAAACGTCTTTATTCACTAATATTTTCATCACTGGGATCCTCGCAGCTCTCTTCGTCAGAAGCAGATTCATTTCTTCTTTCCTCATCATCGTCATCGTCATCCTTGGCGTTCCAGAGCACGTCATCGTCACTGCCATTCAATGAATTTGAAATGCAGCATTTCTTGAAAGATTTTACAATCAAAGATCTTCAAAGATCTACAAAGATCTTCCTTTGGGAGGGCCAGTGAATTTCTTTCTACTAGCTTTAGTTGCAAACAGTGCCAATTTCTGTTGCCGCCACAAGCGAACATTGCTCTCAGCTACGTTGAACTCTCTCCCTGCCTTTCTATTGCCATTTTTTTCAGCATAAAGAATTACTTTACGTTTGAAAGTAGCGTCATATGACATTCTTCTCTGTTTGCCCTCCATTTCGTGACTACGTACTCTGCAGTTTGTATCCTCTATGCAATAATGTGTCAACGATAAATGTAACGGTAAATGTAGTCGAGAAATTTGGTTGACGTCATCGGCGAACTTTGCACTCGAATCTAATGTGCACCCCAATTTTGAATACTACATTTGGCCAAAAACGATGCGCATTAGATTCGCGTAAATACGGTAGTTATGGCAAAAATTTTAGAATTTAGAAGAGTATCAAGCAAAGACTCAGGGATGGAAAATTTTTTAGAATGTAGGGAGATACTGGTCAGGAGAATTGCACAAAGCAGAAAAATGCTCTGCCTCCCCAATGACTCAAGGGTGGAAAGTGTGATCCTGGCCGACATCATTACAGCATCAATCAATGTATTGTTACTGCCAAGGAGCAACTCCCCAGCCAACAGATGTTAGAAAGTGACACGTGGCAATGTCAGAAGAATCGTATTTAAGAAACTCCTCCTCATTTTGGATGAGTATTATGTTCTCCAGTCCTAGATTCTGTAACAGATGATTTTATTTATATACATTTTTTTGGTCGGGGTCTGGTTACTGGACATAAGGATTTCAGGCTGTATATGGTGAATCTTTGATAATATCCTGTAATCGTTCCATATATGTTAAAAATATCAAGAAAGAAACATAGAACACATACTTTACAATGAATATTTATTTACATTGAGACTTAAAAAAAATTGGCATCAAAACTCTGAGTATGATTTTTAGCATCATTTTAAACTGTTGTGTAGTCTGGTGTAGTCTACAAAAAGTAGATAAATCGGAAATAAGTAACTATCGGGAATATAAAAAAATAGAGTAATAGGGGAAAGGCCCGCCAGGTCCGCCAAGTAATGCAGTTTACTTTGAAAATTGAATGCAATATGGAATGAAACTTTTCAGTCACAGCACAGAATCAATTGGTGCATAAGTGGCAAAAAAAAAACGCGGACACAAAATTACACAAAAACTAATTGCGCACGCGCGACCTCAAAAAAAAAAAACATTTTAATATAAAAAGTATTAAACATATACATATAATTAAACTAAAATAATACTTGTACTTACTATTTTGCTATTAATTTTATCTTGTAAAAAAAAATTAATAAATCACCAAGAGATTGTAATGAATTAACCTTCTTTAAGATGCTATTTATGTAACTTAATTTAACAGTTGATACATGAATACTGTACACAGCATTACAACACACTAATATACATATTTATGTTATATATTACTGCCCATTTTCAGGCAATAACAAGTTTTAGAGATAATATATAACTGTTACTATAGCTCTCAATTATCTTCAATAAACAGTACTTTGTATAACACCAGAAAAAGTAGTCATATGAGATAATATAGTTACAAAATAACATATAGTTAAAGGAGGAATACAAAAAATAGCTATTTTGTCTCAGTCTCACTCGATCCTGATTAAAAATTTTTAGGGAAAAAGCTTTTTCTTTTTTGCTACTTTTGCAGCCAACTTTTTTAATTTCCGTTTGCGAGTTTGTCTCGATTTCTTTTCAGCAGCTTTCATACAATCCATTGATACTTTTTTATTTTCTTCTTTATTTTCTGCAATGTTTAATTGCTTTTTTTTTTTTTTTTTTTTTTTTTTTTTTTTTGATTCTCGCTCCTCCTTTTTAATCTCTAGCTCTTCTTTGTACAGTTTATGAGCATTCCTTAAATTTTTACATGGAGTTTTGTGTACTGGAGAATGCATGTGGTTATCCTTATGTCCGACAGATGGCACCAGCACTGATGGCTGAAATTATTGAAGTCAGCTCTTGTTTTACGGTTGGTTGCTCTTCTTTGATTCGATATCCTGCGCATCTAGTTCCGCCTTTCCACATAAGCCCCACCTACTTCGTCTTGATGTGAAACAACGTATTTCGTGATCTCAGCTCAGGCAAACTCGAAAAGTTCGCAACAAGGAGTGCCCACGTTTGATCGCTAACCCAGCGTAATATTATACGATGGCATGATGTAAAGTTTTTTTACAAAGAAAAGAGGAAGAAAGAGAGCATGTCCTGTATTTACCTCCCCACACAACACCACGCCGGTCGCGATTTTTCAACGGTTCTGCATCGATCTCAGAAACAGCCTGGGTGATGTTCAAAAAAGCGATTACGTGAACTTCAGCCGTGAATCTAATATATTGTACAAGCATCAAGATTGACAGAATTCCACAGGACAGCTCAGAAAAAGACTCTCGCGCCACGTTTGAGAGGCACATGCGAATTTGTGGAAGATCAGGATGCAACCACTTCAGAGCCTGCTAAGGAGTTAGACATTAGTGACATGTTTATTAGTTGAGCTATGCATCGCATACACTTTGAAGGTAACTTTTACCTGAACAATCGGATCCATTCTCAGGGCTGCCACTAGAATACATTGTCGCTAATTTGCCATCTAGTATAAAGCGGAACCAACCATTACTGCCATTTGAAAGTTCCAAAGCAGCAGCATCGCTCCATAGATACAAACAATCTCGACCTCTTACAATATTCCAATCTCGCCAATGATAAGGTTTCCCAGGCAAAATCTCTTTTGCATCTTCTATTGAAAAGTCTTCTTCCTAAAACAAAAACAGCATCATTTAGAAACATTAGAAATACAATTTTCACAAAATGCAAGCACAGTCGTACAACATGAAATAACTCTAGATGCCCACGAAGAATCGCATCCTGGCATTGACGCGATGGAGAATGGAGTGAATTTTGAAATGCTACCGAAAGCATAATATAAGATTCTGTGCATGAGAAATAAATGAGGGGTGTTGCGATACATGATACTTCCACCTTCGAATTCAGTTTTTCACATGCGCGTGCATAACAGAGCGGACTGATCAGAAACGATTACGTAAGTTTTCACCATGCTCTCGACGAGTTATGATGTAATCTATCTTTTTTTTTGTCAGTTTTGTTTATGAATGTCTTAGAAAGTGGATGTTTATTTTTTTATATTTGTTATAACGTTTTTGTAAAACTTGTGCACATATTTGAATTAATAGAAAAACTGATCCTGTACTCCTGACTTTTCAAACACTTGGGAAGTAACACTTTGGAACTACTGCGAAGAACACACGGATTCAGGTAAGTGCTGTTTTACTTACCTCCTATTTTAATGCTTTTAGCACAGATTAATACTGATTGGGGATACAATATTAATTTGGCATCCCATACCGAGATACTAGTTGTTTTAAATTGAAATTTTGCATATTATATTTATTACTAGAAGTGCTATGGATCTGTTAAAAAAGTTAAGAACAGCTCTTAGAAATGCATTTACACGCATAGCTAATAAATAGTCTTGAGAAAATGTTGAAGGGAAAAATTAAAATATTGAAGCGACTGAAATTTTATTTGCCCAGTTAGAAGAAAAGTGGAGCGAACTTAATTTTAAGGAAAGGGAACTACAAGATCTTCTTCTAAAAAATGAAAATTGTTCTCAAGTGGATTTTGATGAAGAATGTGAAGGTTTTACTTTGCATGAAGAGAGATTTGTCAGATTAAGGACAAAAGTGCACAAAGTTTCAACAAATGTTAAAATCGAAACTGATTCTCAAATAGTTAATGATTCATCGAAATGGAAGTTTAAGCTTCCTAAAATAGAATTTGAGTTTTTCGGCAGTGATATCAAAGAATGGTTGTCATTTTGGACACAATTTGAGAAGATACATAACGATAATGAAATCGCGGATGAGGATAAATATCAGTATTTATTACAAGCTACTTTAAAGGGTTCAAGAGAAGGAGAACTTGTTGAATCATTTACGGCCACAGCTGATAGTTATGAAAATGTTATACAATGTTTAAAGGCCAGATTTGGCCAAACTAACATGTTAATCGAAGTGTACATTAGAGAACTTACTTTGTTGATGATGAAAAATGCAATCGGTAAAGGTCCTAAAATGCCTCTTTTTAAATTGCACGATAAGAATGAAATAAATATGTTAGGTGTTTCCAGCACAAATTATTTTTTAATTTTGTATCCATTGACTGAATCTTTGCATGTCGACATACTGAGAGTTTGGGAAAGAAATTTGAATTCCATATCCCTAACATTTAAAGAAGAAACCATTGATATGTTAGATAGCCTGATGAAATTTTTATGCCACGAGATTGAAAGAGAATAGAAAGTGCATCTAGCACATATTGGATTTCACCATGAAACCAAAATCAAAGCAAAATTATTTCACCCACGTCAGCATGACGGGAAAGACAGCTTCAGAGTTATGTAGCTCTTCGGAAATTAAAAAAGAAACTTGTGTATTTTGTAACAAAGCACATACAAGTAGCCAGTGTAGGTATGCTGATCATTTACCTTATGAAGAGAAAAAGCAAATATTATTAGAAAAGGGCACATGTTTCAGATGTTTAGCAGTAAGAAAACACAATTCTCGATTTTGTGAAATGAAAGTACTACCCTGCGAGATTTGCAGTAAGCGTCATTTTTAATTAATGCTCACTGAAAAATAAATCTCGAAAATTCGAACTGATCGCTCCAGGTTGAGAGGAAAGAAACAGAAAGTAAGGACTCTGCTCTATCCAACAAAACAGCTACTCATAAAGTTCTCTTGCAAACACTTGCTGTTCGTCTTAGTAATAAGAATAAAACAAAATACACAAGGGTACTAATTGACTCGGGCAGCAGTAAATCTTATTTATCAAATTTCGTAATAACAGAAATGGGATATGAATGTATTGGTGAAGAATTCAACATATAGTTTATTCGGCGGTTTAAGATACTATGGAAACATTAGAGGTATTTGATTCGTCTTAGCGACTTTTTGGATAATTATCGATGTAATTTTGAGGTGTTAAATCAAAAATTAATTTGTTCCACAATCCCGAAAATACGATGTGGGAAATTTATCAGTGAAATTAAGAAATACAAAATTTTCCTGTCTGCTTTGAATGATAAAGTAGATCTGTTGTATCAATTCTCTCCGGACGAGATTCATGGACTGATGTCGCAGGTAAACTGTACACCGGAAACATAAAACAGTTATACTTGGGTCTAGTTTTGATAGAAACGCAGCTTGGTTGGACAGTAATGGGTACGGCTGATATGATCGAAACTTCAGATAGCATGAACAGCGTTATGTCACGACATGTAAATGATGCAAAAATTTTCAGACTTATGGCGACTTGATACACTTGGAATTTCGGTCCCTGGAGAGAAGGGAAGACGACAAGAACTTGAGATGACGGCCAAAGAACATTTTAACAGAAGTGTGAAATTAGATGCTGACGGAAAGTACACTGTAAGCCTCCTCAAGACACAAGGCCATCCTTCTTTGCCCACTTGCAAAATTGTTGTAGAATGAAGGGCTGCATTGATTCATTTAAGAGAAGTGAAAATTTAGAAGCATACGAATAAGTGTTTAGAGAGTGGCTTCAAAAAGATGTTACTGAAGAAGCTAAGAACTCTTGTAACAAAGGAAGTGAACACTATCCCCCTCAAAGAAGTTTGAGAACTGGAGATGGGAACTTTCTAAGTTGAAAGAAATAGAAATTCCTTGATGGCTTTTCTTATTCCCAATTTTGAAGTACCCAGAAGTCTAACATTGCATGCATTCTGTGACGCGAGTAAGATAGCATATGCTACCTGTGTTTTCTTACGAAGTGAGACCAAAACTTCAACGACCTGTCAACTTGTTCAGGCCCGATGTAGAGTTGCACCAATGAAATCTATTTCTATTCCGAGAATGGAACTTCTCTCCTGCAACATTGGAGCTAGATTGTCTCAGAGTGTGACTAATGACCTGAAAATAAAAAAATGTGCCACAGTTTTTCTGGGCACACTCGGCAAACGCTTTGTATTGGATCAAGGGAAACGAAAATTGGGCTCCCTTCGTTTTTAACTGAGTGCAAGAAATTCATTCTATGACAAATCCTGAAGACTGGCATCACGTCCCAGGTCCATTGAATCCAGCAGATCTTCCATCACAGGGGTGCGATGCCAAAACATTACAAAAATCTCAATGGTGGGAAGCACCATCGCAGCTGAAAAGAACTAATGGAAGACTGGCCAAATTTTAGAGGAGTCCCTGATTTAGATATAATAAATTTAGAAAAAAGAAAGACCATTGTTAGCACAATTAATCCCTAAGAGTTATCCCAGGAAAAATATGACCGATTCTCTTCGTACAACCGACTTTTTAGTCACTGCATGGATCTATCAAATTTTTACCAATTGTAAGGTTAAAAAGTCTAAACAAATTTCTGGAATCTTGACATTAGAAGAAGTACACAAAGCAGAAATCATATTATAACGTATTTCTCTTGCCTTCTTGGTATGCCTTCGTGGTTTGCACGCTGGGCACACATTCCAGAGGTCCATGGTTCAATTCCCAGTGAAGACATTGCATATTTTTCATCTTTCCTGCTTCCACAATACCTAATGTCTCTTACAGCCTTGTTGAAAGTTGTACAGAAGGAATTGTTTACAGGGCTGGATGATAAACACTTGAAAACGATTTAATGTTACAATGATTCTAATGGTATTTTGAAAGTTAAGACTCAAATGTTAATGAGAAAAGATACAAGAAATTTCCAATATTTGACAATACTACCCTCTAATCATCCAGTTACAGAAAAAAATCATCCTGACCAGACATACGCAATTGCATCACACAGGAGTTCAAATCCTGATGAGCAACTTAAGAGAAGATTTTTGGATTCTTAAATGCAGGAAGACAGTAAGAAATGTAATTAAGACTTGTGTAACATGTAAACAATTTAATTTTCGGCCTAAAACGATCATCGAAACTCCTCTCCCAGAAAATCGCATAAAAGAAGCTACAGCTTTCGAAGTTTCAGGAATAGATTACACTGGCCCATTAATCCTAAGAAATGACCAGAAAGCTTGGATTGTTATATTTAAATGTGCCATTTGCCGAGCAGTACATCTGGTAGTTAGCTACATCTTTATCGACAGACCATTTTTTGCAAACTCTTAGACGTTTCATCGCTCGAAGGGAGTCAACCTTCCATCTTTTACTGTGACAATGGTTCTAATTTTTTAGCAGCTGAGAATTTGCTGAAGAAAATTGATTTGGACATCATTTCCCAATACAGTGTCTCTCAAAAGATCATTTGGAAATTTAATTCCCCCATCTGCCCCATGGTGGTGTGTGTGGTGAGAATGTTTGATAGGTATAATAAAAGAAATTCCATGAAGGATTCTAAGAAGAAGTTCCCTAAATTTAGAAGAAATTAACACCGTTAATTGTAACATTGAAAATGTGATTAATCAGCAACCTTTAACCTATATTTCAAAAGATGTTGATTATTTTAACTCCACTTAACCCTTCTACGTTTTTGCATGACCTTAAAGAAGCAGGAATCCCAGATCTTGATATTCTGGATTCATCGTCTTGAATAAAAGACATGTTTACCAACAACTTGTGAAACAAGATTTAAGAAAACAATTTCATACTGAGTATTTAGGCAATTTACACCAATCATTGAAATCTAAAAATCAGAAACCCATTCAAGCTGGTGATATTTCTCTGGTATCTAGTGACAACCTCATGAAATTTGAATGACCTCAGGAGATGGACAAAATCACCTGGTAAAAATAAAAATGAAAAACGGGGAATTTTTCCGCCTAGTGCTTAGGGTAATACCTCTTGATGTGACTGATAAAAGTGATCCTGCTATACCTTTAGTCGAACAGGCTTCTATTCTCAACGAACCAAAGACTGTTGAAAACTGTCTTGCAGAGACCGCTTCTGACAAGCCAGTACTAGCTAAAAAGATAACTCCTTCTACTAACTACTGTTAATAACTAAAGAACTGTTAATGACTTTTTCCAGATAGCGTCCTGAAAAAAATCCAGATATGGACGATTAATTAAACCTAGAACTAGGGTTTGAGATTCTGTGGTTCAAATCTCAAAGGTGGAAGTATGCTGCAATACATTATACCTCCACCTTCGAATTCATTTTTTCGCTTGCGCGAGCATAAGGGAGTGGACTGATGAGAAAAAATTACGCAAGTTCTTATAGCACGTTCCATGAGTTATGACGTAATCTACTTTTTTTGTTAGTTTTGCTTATGAATGTCTTAAAAAATGAATTTCTAGTTTTTTATATTTTTTATAATGTTTTGTAAAACTTGTGCACAGATTAAAGTTTATATAGAAAAACTGATCCTATACTCCTGATTTTTCGAACACTTTGGAATGACTGCAAAGAACCCAATGATTCAGGGAAGTGCTGTTTTACTTACCTCCTATTTGAATGCTTTTAGCATAGATTAATATTGACTGGGGACATAATAAGGGGGCCATTGCAAGACAGTTTCTTCCAGCGCATTTTTAAGGTGCGCACTATCACTGACACATAAGAGTTACATGCAGCTCGAATTCAATAAACGCAAGGAAGCTACCTGGTTGATCCTGCCAGTATGCTTGTCTCAAACATTAAGCTATGCATGTGTAAAGACATACCGCGTTATGGCAAAACCGTGAATGGCTCATTAAGTCAGTAATAATTCCTTGGATGGTATCTTACTATTTGGATAACCATGTCAATTCTGAAGAAGAGCAAAAATTCTGAAAGATGCCTATAGTCAATGAAATACAAATACATTTCATAAATGATTTTGAAATATCAAATTAAAAAAAAAATATCTTGTTCTGATTCATCAAGATAAGTATGATGAAATTTATTTCAGTTACAACATTACTGGACAACTTCACATGCATAAAGTACATTATTACAATAAATGTGCACTGCTTCCACACAAAAGCAGACAGTATAACAATGTAAGAACTACACATCTGAAGGCAATGTTTAGAAAAGTGTTTCATGCTACAAGACCTATGAAGTATGTTTCCTTGAGTCAGCTACATTTTTCCGAGTACCTGAAAATTTAACTGCATCAATTAAAATGTATAAAAAAATTCTCAAACCATTCATTCTTTAAGTCTGAAATCATTTGCACACTGAATAAGACTCAAGACAATCGTCAGCACTAAAATGTGTAATAAAATAATATGTATACCTGACAAGGAAGATGACTAAGAATTTGAATATTGCTGCTATAGCATCTATACATTCCTCAGATTAAAAATTACAAAGCTCTTCATTCAATACAAACTTTTCATTTAACACTTTTATTTGTCAAAACTTTTTTTTTGTGTTTATGCCTACATACTATACATCAATAACTATATCTAATCAAAAAGCACCTAGCAAAAACATTGAAATATTACAACTAGATTACAATTAGTAATTAAAAACACCATGCAAATCAGTTCTTGCAGGTTATGAATGGTTTATGGCATGACACAGACTGCATTATCAATAACAATCAATCACAATCAATAAAAATATCAAATATCATGTGGTAAATGTTAATTTTTGACATAAAAAGCTTTTCAGTTATTCGGACAAAAAGCTTATATCTTGAAATAAAATATATATGATTCACATACCATTTATGGAAGAACTGTTTAAAATAACAAAAGGAGACATGATGCCAATGTACATACAAATATAAATTAAAAAATAAAACTTTCTCTTTGGAAATATAATTAGAAAAAAGCAGAAATATACTATACCCCCTTCATCTTTTATTTTTTTGTTTTCTTCTTCATTATCCATAGGACCGGCCAAAGCTAAAACTTTTGTAAAGACACCCAGTCGAGCAAAATGATCCAAATATATTTCTCTTCCTTTCAGCATCAAATCATGTATGATATTTAATGTTTGCAATAACACATCCTCTTCTTCCTGCAATAAAAATAAAATTAAATAAAATAAACATTTTATAATATATATATATAAACCAAATATTTGTAGTTTCATGAAAATTTTTTACTTTTGAGCCTTAAATTAATCAAATCATTAATTATATATGAATCTCGAATTACATTAACATTTTTATGAAAGTCCTTTCATGTACATCACAAACTGTATGACAAATTGTACATTTTACAAAATGTTTTCTCAACTTCAAACTCTGGTTTGTGAATGGGAGAACTCATTCTTAACATTAAAAAAGAATGACATATCATAAAAAAAAATCAGCTGCTACATTCTCAAAGATAATTCAGAAAATATTAAATACAACGTTTTGACTTCTGCAGATTAGTTCCAACAAAACATGGCAACATTTTGAAATGCTATAAACCAGTAGTGCATTTACCAAATATTAGTTGCTGGAAACTTGCTTTGCCTTTCTAAAAGACAATCTAATTGTAGTTGCGAAAATTGGCTCTATGCCAGTTGCCCAAATGACGCTCACGCGATACACAATTCGGCAAGAAAGTGATTGCTTCCAACATCGGAGCAAAACTCGCATTTTTTGGTGGGATCGCTATATAAAATTCCCCGACTTTTCCAGATTATGACTAAAATATTTAAATTCCCTGCATGTTTTGGTCAATTTTCGAATTCCCTGACTCTTCCAGGTAGCGTGGCAACCCTGAAGACAGTTTTGGCTAGGAACGTTTGAATGGTACAAGAATATAATAATATATGTGCGCTGATTAAAGAAAATCACTAAACAGAATGGTAGAACACAGTTTCTCAAGAAAATTTCATCAAGCACCATATGTCACTACATAATCTCATTACACAGCACAGGCATCCATACCTTAGTCAAGATTAAAATGCTAGCCTATCAGAAATTAGACTCTGCTAACACCGTAGTGACTCGAACACATGCTCTCTATATATATATATAACTGCGAAGAAACATTTTACATACCTCGCTGTCTAAAACACTAGATATGACTTCAGTCAAGATTGTAGCAAAATTTTTTGCTCCAACATCAGAATTTGAAAATTCAGTAAGCAAATTAGCATTAATGTAATGGATCATTTTCCTAATGAGATTCAAACTTGCTTTCCTGGAAGGCAAACACAAAGAAATTTTAGAATAACAACATAAAAGATATTATAAATTCAAACAGCATTTAAAATCACAGAAAACTTTATTTAATTACAAACCTGAAGCAGAATTCTTTGAAATAATAATGTCAGCTTCAAATTAACTGAACTAATATTTGGGATGATGTTTATGATTAATGCAAAATCACAGTTAGAAGTTAAAAAGAATACACATGAGTCAGGAATAATCAATTTCATAATCAGCAGGGGAAAAACTATTAACAATATAACTGCATTTTCAAGCAACCTAATCTAGAGTATGAGATCATATGGTTCTATAAATTAAATCAGTATTCAAAGTTTCTTTTTCTCCAGTGTACACACATATCCTCTTTCTTCCACTGCTTCTTGTACCTGACTACATTTCTCCTTCACTTCACACATGTTGTTTGTTTTTATTTATATTATACTCGTATTTCAGCAGTCAGTGTGAGACATATCAATAGCTATATGCTAAATTTATATTTAAAATTTGATAATTTACTTTTGAAAGATAACCATGTTTAGATACTCCACGTTATATATAACTAAATTATATATTGCACAGAAAACTCCCAAATAGTATGATATCTTCAGATATGCATCACTAAAAGCGTTATCACATACGATATTTGTTGCCGGAACAAAAGGTTTGGTGGAACAGTTCTGAGAAACGCTCTTTGGCGAAATAGGGTTACCATCTTCACTTGGTAAACAGGCTGAAAGCCAAAAAGAATCAGTTATCACTTAGATTGGCGAAAGTAACGTTTCCTTTCAAATGACGTTTGCTTCTTCCGTGTTGTTTTGTATCGCTCACACTCTTTTCATTTTAAACTTTATTGTTAGTAATGGAAGATAATAGAAAGGTGATTGCTATCAAGTTAATCACTTTGATCTCCACTCTGGCACTTCAAGTAATAGATAAACACACTTCTGGTTATAGCAATCAATTACATTAGTAATAGCCAAATTCTGTATACACTAAGAATAGTTTAAAAATGTGCACAGGATAAGTCTATTTATCAGACATCACTTATGTGTATTTTCTGTTGTCTGCATTTCAATGAAAATTTGATGTCTCACTGGAAAATTTCTGACCAGGTGAAAGCCTTTTTTTGACTAACTTTATGGCACATAACTACTGTTCTGTCCATTCAAAGAAACAGACAAAAAAAAGACCTTCTATGACAAAAATTCATATGGCTGATATTTACATCCTCACAGCCAGCAGATACTATTCAGCAAAATGAAGATCAAATAAAGCATATGAATACATAAACAATCAAACATGTGCGAGTTGTTTACTGTCCCATAGAACACTCGGTTATATACCTAAAACACATTAATTATACCAACTTTAGAAATTAGGTGTGCACATCATGAGATTGTTTTATGTGATTACGGCAAAACCTCGAGGGATATCTGCCTAACAGGAGGGATCCCTTTGTAGAAGATTTTTAACTGGCTTGTATACCAGTTACAAATGGGGAAAACCAAGAAAACGCCCATGTAGCCAGCCCGTTCGTGGCATTCTAACCTGAGACAGAACTACCAGTGTTCAACGATGCTTCAGCCACTAGTAGGCCTGTGCACTTAATTGGAAAGTACAATTCATTATGTAAACAGCTATGAACTGATAATCAGTTGTGCACTGTTTTAAGTAATCAAATGTTATAAATGCACAACTGTTACATTTCTTATTATTTATTAGTCATGTTTATATTACGTAGATCATACATATGATATAATTATGAATTAACCCAATAACAAAACGTGTAGACTCTTTAGTACTCAAATGCTCATCAATTATTTTTCAACTGATTATTACATATCCATAACAATTTGCAAAGAACTGATGACTACAGTTGCTGTCAATTACATGATCGTTATATGAATTAAAAGTAACTTCAAATAAACTTTTTGGTAATGTTCATTTTTGTATTCATACATACATATATATAACATACATACATATACATCTAATAAGTCATATATTTACATACAGATAGTGTATTGGTGTATTGAGAATACGGCAAAGAACACTAGGATTATCTGCCTAAGGGGAGGGAGCACTTTCTAAGGGCAACTGGCTCGTATACACATTACACACGGGGAAAACTACGAAAATGTCCATGCGGCCAGCCCGTTCACGGGATTCAAACCTCGGACCGAACTACCAGTGTTCAGCGATTTTACCGCTCGCCCACTGGTGTGCCACATATAGATAGAGAGATGCGATGGTTTAGAAGTTGTTAATATATATTTATTAGTATTAATGTAAAGAATAAGGTTTATATTAATGAATGTATATACAAAGGTTTTTCATCATGCATAATAATAAATCCATAAATTTCCAATGTTTCAATATGTACCATTTACAATAAAAGTATAGTTTCTAATGTATCTATAATCCAAAAAGTATTTCATTTATAACATGAAAATAATAGACAAATTTAATGAGTATTCTCATTATTACATAAGCTATTTAGATGGACGCGTCAAAGGATGGATGCGTCTTTTTTTTATGCATCTTTTATGCTGTTTAAAATTTGTCACTGATTATGCAATTAACAATTTAAAATATAAGTAATTAGGAGAAAAGCCACGCATGTACAAATGGATTTTTAAAAAATCATTCAACTTAAATTTAAGAAATAAAATTCTATTATATAACAGTGATAATACACGATCAGCACGAAATACGACAAATTTGGCAAACTTTAGCAATGAAGAATTTGTAAACAAATCCGAACTGCAAAAACGTCGTAAAATACTGTCAACACTAAAATTTTCACGATTATATATTTAATGAATATATAAACATTTAAAAATCACTCAGGAAGTTATATTACAACAAAAGAGCAATAATTAAATTGGCCTCTATTTCCACCATCCATCACTTCACAGTGAGAGCCATCACCATATTGAAAGTTACCCGTGATCCTTCAGAAGCAGAACTTTCGTCTGATTGGTTGAACGTTCGAGAAACACGTCTCCAGCCGGAACATTTTCGAACAAGTTTTAAAATGTTGCCCGTAGCCGGGACATGTTCCTCCTAGCTAGACGAAACATTTCTCGGAAGCCTCCCGCTTAAAGCAGTGCTACTAGAATCTCGTTTCTCGGAATTGTCCCGGGTAAGCGTGCGTGTCCCTAGAAGTGATAATGCTTTAAGAGACATATCCCCCGACCTGAACTTCTGGAACCCTTGCCTAGCAATTCGCTCGTTAACGGCATCATCCCCAAAGGCCTGGAAAATTCGCCGACTTCATTCTGCTGCTGACAGGCCCACTTTAAAGTCATACATCAAATATCTCTGAATATACGCCTTTGACGCGTCCATTTCAATCAGTCGCTGTGTGAGTTATGTTTGAAGTACCGATGCAACATGCTTTTATACTCTTGGTCAACGTCCGTACTCCCATCTTAAAAACTTCATTCCCAGGTATGGCAACTATTTTTATGTTGGGGTTCACTCTTCTAATGTCATATCAGAAACAGCAAGAACTTTTATGGTTACCTTGTAAAATACGATGTAACAGATCTTTTGTTTTAAATCTTATATTAAAAACTATATGAAGATATGAAACAAATAATAACTGATATTGCTACTATGAAATTGATAATACAAAGAATGAAATATTATTTATGCTGGTTTTTGTTTCATTTCTCAGATTACAGCATATAATATTTCACATATATTTATTTGCATGTAATTCATATAGGTTTGGAGCCATCATAAATTTTATATGCACTTTTAAATGGATGACTTTATGAATTTAAAAACTACACTAGACTTTATTGTAAATACAAAATTTTAGATAGCAAAATGCTCATTACTTAATATTTAATTAGTACATACTATTGCATCTAGGCATATACATTAAAATGGCAATTTAATCCCTTTGTTATTCAGTTTTAATGAACTCACATACTAAAAAATGTTTGCCAAATTTCAAGCAACATTTCATACAATTTGACATAGCATATTTTTATGCTAATTCATAGAGGGTGATTATAATACAAGTACAGTAGAGTCTCACTTGTCCGACAATCCATATTGTACCACACACCACCAAAGGATAAATTGGCTACAAGAACTGCACATTGCTACAAATCTTTTCTATTGGCCCCAACTCTACTGCATGGCACACCCGTCTACACTAAGACTCGCATATCTGTCATTCACTGCAATGCAGTCTATCCCTAGTATGCGGATTGGTTTAATTTCTGTTGCTACTCATACATATGTGACTTCATGCGATGTGTCTAACATTCATGCGGTGTTTCAAAGCTCAAATTTATGCATGTACAGAAAGAATGGTTAAAAAAGGGAAGTTATATTTTCAGAATTAAAACCTAAGACAATGGAGAGACTGGACAAGCGAGGACAATGCAGAAGGTTCACAACTCTGGCATGGACAGGGTACAATAACAGACTGGAAAAGAAAATGAATAGGAACAGAAAAATTCTCAAATCACAAATAATCATACAGGATATCAGATTCCATAAACCATAAATCTTTATATATTTTTGGAATCTGATTTCTGCAGGGGGAATTGTAATTTAGACAGAGACAAGAAATCTATATAAAAAAGAGAATGAAAATTCACAAATCACAAATAATCATACAGGAAATCAGAATCCATAAACCATAAATCTTTAAATCTTTATGATGTTTTTTTGGAATTTGATTTCTGCAGAGGAGTATTGTATTTTAGATAAAGACAAAAAATCTCTATATAAAAATCTATATAAGAGGGAGTATAGCCATCAAGAAAAATGCTCATATTAATAATAAATTATGAATGGAAAGATTCATAAATAATATGCTTTGCAGTTTCTGAATTAGATAATCTTTCTATAACTCAGCTCTTCATTTACTTGCATATTTATGGTTAAGATTTCATCACATTGCAGGAATAACTGTACAACACAGATCAGATGATAGATTACTTATGCTAGATAAAAAAATGTGTCTCTGAATAATACTTTAAATTGTGAATAGCTCTTAATTCCTTTTTTGGTTTGGCTACTTCCCCCCTCATTCTAAAAGTGGTAATAATTTTACCAAACTGCATATCTGAAAACAAATTTCACATTTTGGAATCAAATTTTCTGCATTCCGTCTATTTTAAAAGTGGTAATAACTTTTCCAAAACTGCAAATTTTCTTTCAAAATTCCACATTTTCTTAACCTTCTGCACTGCATATAAATCTTAGCCAATCAGATTAATGAAAATTTTTATTATAAATATTGTTGCAATCCAACTATGTTCTCTCTTTCCCTGCTTATGTTTGCCAGCTGAAGGATGTCTACAGCTTGGCTGCTTCTGTTAAAACTGTAATGCGTCATCAAAAAAATTCTGGGGTGCAGATTGCCCTCATTATTCTGTGCCATTAAATAGAGTAATCAAGTAATGAACATGGATTATCAAGTGATTTCGTGATTCTTCAAAATTTCCCTGCATCTTCTACTGTGTAATCCAAATTTCAGTGATCTTTTAACTTCAATCTATATGTGATTAAAAAATAATGTCTTCCCTAGTCAAGCACTCATATCAAACCACTGCTATGAACTAAACTATATCATCACAATTTAGTCAACAAAGATAGCATCTGTCTTAGAAATTCCTGCCTAAGAATGAATTTAACTGTGCAGAATGGCCTGTCTTAAAGTGCAGTTTATCTACAAAATTCAAACAAGTATGCACACTACAAGATTGAGGCTTTCTTATGATAATGAATTTGATTTTACTCTGCATCCATATAACACATCACTCTTGATCTATTCAATATCCAGAAAGGAGGAAATATCCCCAACATCCACAGTGCTTCGAAAATTAATCCAGCAAAGTGTTTATATTAAAAGTGATCTGATGAGTGTTTTCAAAGCTACAGTGTATCAACTAAATTATTTCAGCATTACAAGGCCATTCTGTTTATACAGTGTGCTACAACAATGCACGCAAAGAGAAATTTATTTTTACTTTAGCTCTCTTAATCGCAGTTTGTCAAACAAAAACGGAAAATTATTACCTTTGGTTCATTTTCAATGGAAAAAAACTCAAACAGTGGCACAGATTCTAAAATTTCCTACAAGATCTTTTATGAATAAAGTAAATTAGTACAGCTAGAAAATTGTACATTATAATCAATAAACTGCTAATCATTTTTATTATACTAAAAACATAGTTTTGCTGTTTTTCTTATTATATTGAACTTAAAAAATATTACACTGCTTTATGAAGTTCAGTAAAATTTTATGCTATCAAAAAATTTAATTTTTCATAATAATGTTTATCAAATAGGTAACAACTTAATGAATTCTAAAGATTTTAAGAAAGGTTATTCACATGATTAATATATTTTTGCATGAGTTCAGTAAAATTTTATGCTATCAAAAAATTTAATTTTTCATAATAATGTTTATCAAATAGGTAACAAACTTAATGAATTCTAAAGATTTTAAGAAAGGTTATTCACATGATTAATATATTTTTGCATAATTGATTAAATACTTTTGAATTAATATTTTGAATATTTAATTATTTTACCCCAGTTGTCCAGGCTAAGATGCACAAGCATCCCAGAGTGCATGGTCTAAAAAGCAGATATCACGCCACTGCCAGGGCTATTTGTGACGTCGAGTTTAGTTTTTAGTTTTAATTATTTTAACAATGTGATTTTTGTTTAAAAGTTTTAATTCTAAGAATTTTCTAATTACTTTAAGAATGAAATGAATATAAAACTTTGAAGGCAGCGGGCAGCTGCATTGGAGAGTGCAGAGAGAAGTAAACAAAAACAGCAAGCAAAGACAAGAAGAGCGAGATTGCCGAGCAGGCTTTTTACACCAAGGCATGATTACATAAACTATTCTATTACAAGCATGTTTACATTAAAAGAATTAAATTTCAAATAGGTAACAGATTAACATTTGGAAGCTGCGTTAAGATTTCATCACATTCCACGAATAATTGGCAAAACAGATGGCAGATCACTTTTCAGAATTACAAGAACTTATTATATTAGCTTTGCTACTTTTAGAATAAAAAGGGGAAGCATGCTTAAATTTTGCTACTGTTAATTTATAATTAGAAAGACAGCTATTTCATATTTTACATATACAGTACAAAGTCCGTAATGCGGACATACATTATCCAGAATAATCTACATGACGTACATCTAATGTATAATCTGAACCTCAAAGCCACAAACTTTATGCATGCACATAAACAATGCGCATACATCACGCATGCACGCGTTGAAAGAAATGTTTAATAAAGTAAACAAATATTAAGCTCTTTTTTTTTTTTTTTTTTTTTAATTTGATACCCTTTAGATCATAAATGCTTTTTATTTCACAAATTACGGTTTCATTTTTTTAATTGTATAATTTCTGCATGCCATCTAACCATATTTAAATTGATGATCTATAATCCGGAATATAGACAAGTGCGGATTACAGACTTTGTACTGTGTATATGGGCAAAATAAAATCTACAGCCACCCCTCTTTTTTCACAGCTCATGTAATAGAACAAAAAATTTAATAATTTGAAGAAGGAGAACAGACAAAGAGGGTTATGTTCTTAACAATGCTTGTGTTCAATTATCTCACTTTACTTACTAGAAACAAAGAGATAGCTTTGGAATGGTAAACCGTGATGTCACATGCTCCAAACCTTCTAGTCAGGAAGAGCAAACCTTGTAAGTAATGTAATGTTAAAAACAATATTCAAGTGCAAAAATGCTTGCAACCACTTTTACCCAGTGTACTCATATAAAAAGGTCATAATTTTAGACATATTGAAATTTCAAATTCCAAACACTGAACATCGAAAGTACAATTTTCTTAAAATTTCAGTCACTGAACACTGAAACTGAACTGATGCAAAACACTGAAATCATAATGCTAATCAAGCAATGAAATTATGAAAGAGTTCTAGGAATAAGATTTCAAGAAAATAATTTCATACAAACTTTTAACAATGTTACATGTTACGAATATTATTTAAAGGCATATCTCTATGCAGTAAAAATGAATTCTTAATAAATACACAATTACCACATAAACTGATATATCAGCATTGAGCATGGATTTCAGTAATATTATTGTTTACTTGTTTTTTATTATTTATTTATTTATTTATTTACTTTTTAATTTCAAAAGCATGATAAATTAAACTTTCTTCTGATTTTAACCCTACTTAAAGTCTTAGTAGTATTAATCAAGAGCCCACATTTTGTAGAACTGTTGCTTTAAAGATCATTACTAAAGAGTTCTGCTTTTTAAAATGAAAGTTTATTTACTCAAAGAGTGACATTTCCAGCAGCGACATAGTGAGTTAATTATCTATCATATAATTAAATTTTTAAGAAAATATAAACTTTACACAAAAGTATTCCACTAGAAGAACATGCAAAATTATTGTATAATTTTATGAAGTACACTTTTTGTTTACAGCACTTTTCAGACAGAGTATTTATTTTGTATTTAGTCCTAAAATTTTGTACACTTAAAAAAAAAAAAAAAAAAAAAATATTGCAGCATAGTAAACTTAACACTTACAAGCTACAGTTACTGTTTATAACTTTATAAATTTAGAAAACAATAAAATTATAAAAACCTACCTAACAGACCGTACCATAGATCGCTGGTATAACTGACAAAACACAGGTAACAACTGTTGAAGATACAATGGTGCCATTTCAGGATCACCCTTAGGTTCATTATCATACTCATGGTCTTGCTGCTTTCTTTCTCCAAGCTTGGCACTTTCAGAGACAGAACACATCCATTCCCCTATATGGAAATAATTATAAACTATCAAAAGAAATTTGGGGATTAAGGTACTTTTTATGAATATTTTAAAAGAAATTTTATTCATATTCTGAAAATTTTAAAATTTATCTTCAAATATAATGCATAAATATAATGTACAACCCTTCACAGTTGCAGTTGCATTCACCACATACATAAGCAACCTTCTAGTCAAGAACTACTTTACATGTAATGTAAATTAAGAAAAGATCACATTAAATCAGCTAAAACAATTTTACCTCTTTGACTCTTGCACTTGAAACATAATTAGAAGATCTGTAGCAGTTGCTACATCACAAAAACATCATTTTTCTGGTTAAGAATAACTTTTCGCTACTATATTTTTAAGAAAATTATTTATTACTCTTTAAGAAATTGATCTTTAAAAACATTATTATTCTAATCATATTTTTTTCTTACCGTTGCCATCTGCTGTCTACATAAAGTTGTAGAAACAAAGATTATATAACGTTTGTAGAAGTTACTCTACTCCCCTTCCAAGCAAAACAGTTATGATACAAGGAGAAAAATATTTGTTAATATCACCTGAATACTTACACTTCTATAAAGCACATCAATGCTTTTTACAAAATATTTACAATCATTAAATCGAAAATTGATATACAACATTAAAGGTTCACATAATCTTGATAACGTGCTGGAAAAGTAATTCTTCTCTCACAATGTGCTGTTTTAAATTGCAAATCGTCCGCCCTTCCAAATCGATGTCCATTTCATAGGGTGTTTCATTTCTCAGGTTTTGAGAATCATCTTCACCTGAGGCTAACAAATAAACTTGTTTTAATTGATCAATGGAAAACACTGATGTTCTTTCCCTTAATTTTCAGAGTGTGATACTATGCATTTCTGACAATCACAGGAAAAGGTAGGTCTTTGATAAGGGCATTCTAATGTTTTCTTGACATGGTCCACTCTGACAAATACTTATGAACATGTATATAAATCCTTACGGTAAAACAATTTCTGTTTTCTTTTACACTGGCTTTTAAGTGGTTTTAATTTTTCCATTTGTTTCTGCATTTTGCTAGTGAAGATATCTGGTTATAATTTGGCTTCTGGTTTTTCACCCAACATAATTAATGAAGCAGTTAAAAAATTCTCATCTCAACACACCAAAAGGTACACTCTTGTTTTAGGAGAATATAAAAATTCTGTTGTCATTATCTTCTTTCCATCAATTAGCTATAAAGTTGCATGGATTTTACAGAAATTTAACTTTCGGGTCGTTTATTCTCCCATCAATAAAAATTCCGATTTCCATACTCAAGGACCCTATTCCAGATATGAATTCCTGGGGTATTTACAGGATTACTTGCCAGTGTGGTTTAATTTACATTGGCCAAACTAAGACAGTCTTAAAATTTTATGGCAAGGAGCATCAGGCATATGTTAGAAAAAAGGAAACACAGAAGTCTTCTGTTGCCCAACATTGTTGGTCCGAAAATCACACTTTCAATTTTTCTGCTGCCAAAATTATTCAAAAAACATCTTCCATTGGTGAACTAGATTTTCTAGAGGCATTTCACATTAAAAAAAATCTTTCAGTTCTAGTTAACGACCCTAATTCCAATCCATCTTTGCCTTCAGCCTTTAAAGAAATTGTTTTAGTTCTGGTTTCATCAACAGATGGTGCCAGTAGCTTATGGCCTGTCCGGGCTTTCTTATCTTATCTAATTATTATATCTTACCTTGTTCATTTTTGCTTTTGCAGCTGAGAATGATGGTTCAGTAAAACCATCGACACTAGTCCTGTAAAAATTTGAAAATATAATGCTGATTTTTGTTGTTTGACTTTTAAATTAATATTTGCTCAGCGTGTTACTGTATCTTAATTATAGAATGCTATTGGTTTCTCGGTCTTCATATTGCTGTGGAACAGATCCAATTGTGAAATTAGAGGCATCTGTACACAAAGCTAATGTTAGATCTGGATTAGGAAAGGTTAATAAAGCAGCACTAGCTACATCTTTGCATTTTTCAAAGGACTTCTTTGCTTTTTCTGTCCATGGAATTTCCCTTAGACCTTTTCTTATTGAACCTTTTAATTTTCTTATTGAACCTTTCAATTATTCATTGTAGGGTACTTGGGTATTAGCTACGTCTTCTAAGTACCTTCTATAAAAGTTAATGTTTCCCAAAAATTAAAGTTCCTGAATAGTTTAGGGAAGTTTGTAATTTGTAATGACTCGTGCTTTTCTGAATGGGGTTTTTAGACATTGGTGTTATCAAATATCCTAAAAATTCAAGTTTGTTAACTCCCATCACTGATTTCGATTGGTTGATGCATAGACCACACTGTTGAATTCTATTAAATACTTCCGTAAGATATTCCTTATGCTGTTTCTCAGTTTCTAATGCCATTAGGATGTCATATAAATGTGGAAAAATAAAATCGAGTCCACTGAAAACTGTATTAATGAATCTTTGAAAAGTGGAGAGAACATTTCCTAAGCCAAAACTCAAAAAAGCAAAACTCTTCTGTTAAATTCAAAAAAGTCCAAATGATGTTATCACTGTTTTTCTGTTTACCTTCTTATGCTATTGGAATTTGGTTATAGGCTATCAATAAATCAAGTTTGGAAAATATCTTCTTGCCTTTTAAAATGTAATGGAAATTTTCAATTCTGGGTAAAGAGTAGTGAAATGAAATGAACAAAAAATGAACTTATTCTCTGATTTAAACTCTCCAAAAAGCAAAAAAAAAGATATGATATAAGACTATTTATATAAGTCTGTCAGTATTTATACTCCAAAGAGCCATTACGTTACGACCCCCATGTTAAAGACATATAGGACCACCTTTAACTCTCAAAATTGGCAGCACCCAGCGTAGCATTGACTCCACAAGTTGCTGATACATAGTCTAAGGTATCTGGTACCAAGCACTCACCAACCGGTCCTCCAATTGCCACACATTGAGAAAGGGTAGCATGGCAGCACGAATTTGATTTTTCAGGTGGGACCACAAATGCTCTATTGGATTAATGTTGTGAATTTGGAGGCCACATGACGTGAAAAATCACTGGAATGCTCCTTGAACCATTCCCTGATGATTTGACCATTATGACATGGTGCATTATCCTGTTGGTAAACACCATCCCCCACTAGAAATACTGTAGTCATGAATGAATGAACCTGGTCTGCAATGATGTTCATGTGATGCATAGACATCAGGGATTGTTTAATGGGATTTATGGGTCCTAATGTACTCCATGAAAAACATTGCCCACATCATACTATCCCTGCCACCGGCTAGTATCCATCCAACTGTGCATCAGAAGCCAGGGTTTGGTTTAGAAATTGGAGTATTGGCCCACGCCCATCGATCTGGTGGACCAGAAAACGTGATTTGTCAGACCATGCAACTTTCTTCCATTTCAATGTCCAATTTCGATGTTTCTTGGCCTATTGCAGACACAACTGACGATAGCCTGCCATCAATGAAAGAACTGTGCTTCAGTGACATGCCGTCAGTGCTTCGGCCTCCGGCTGCACAAGCTCATACGCAGCAATGTATGCTGCAAAACGTGTCAAGAAACACTGTTTGGGTCTTATGTTTTTGCAAAAGCCTTTCAAAATACTATTACAACTAATTATGTGTCTTTCAAGCTACATTTCCTCAAGAACTTTAAAACTGGACTCTAAATTTAAATTACACAATGATATTTTGTTCCAGTATTTCTAAATTACATCTTGAAGCCATTTATTTGCTTTATCATTAAAACTGTGAATATTCTTCAAAATTTCCCTTCCTTTGCTAACACACTAATGCTTTTTTCTCAAAAGGCATTTTTCTCACGAAGGCTTTTATCTTTGAAGAGGGGGGATATGTACGATAAAAAATGTACAAATCAAAATTAGTTTAAAAAGCTTCTTAATTGCTCATTTTAAATTTGGTTACTTTCTCTCTAGTAATAACTTTCCCAAAACTGCATCATATCTGAAAACTAATTCCGCATTATTTCAACTCAAACTTTTGCGCTGCCCATAAATTTTAGCTAATCAGATTAACGAAAATTTTTACTATAAATACCGTTGCAATTCAACTATTTTCTCTCTTTCTCTGTGTATGATTGCTAGCTAAAAGACGTCCTTTGTTTGGTTGCTTTTGTTAAAAATTTAATGTGTCATCATCAAAATTGTGTGGTGCAGATTGGCCTCAATGTGATGTGCCATATCATTAGGCACGTAATAAAGTAATACCACCAAGTAATAAAGAGATATTTGGATTATCAAGTGATTTTGTGATTATTCAAAGGTTCTCTGCATCTTCGACTAAGAAATTGATATTTGTACTTAGCCAATCCACTCACAACTGGAAAATAATGTATTCCCTTGTCAAGCACTCATCTCACACCAAATTACTGCAAGGAACTAAAATATATCATCACAATTTTAAAATGTAATAAAAACAAACTGAGAGAAATAATGATGAATGAACAGAGATGCAGTAATACTGATTGCACAGCACATAAATGGCATATTGAAAAGGAGGAATTTTGACTGCGTAGAATGTTAGTCAATAATGAGTGGGAAACTTGGCAGTTGAGGCAAATGAAATTCCATTTTTATTTAAATTCAGATTTGTGGCCACAGTTTACTTGGCACTCTAATCATGCCTATTTTCCAGAACATTTACATTTTTTAATACTGCTGCGATAGGAAGAGAACAAAGGAAATAGCATCCACGCAGCACTGAAGTTTAAGCTAAAAGTGTGCATTTATGGAAGATTGTCAGGAGAAAGGTTTTGATTTAGGTGAGAAAAGTTTCAGTTCTTAAAAATTTGAATTCAAGTTCTGAATAAGTTACATTATCAGCTTTATGCAAGCTCTGTGACATAGATTAATCTAGAAATGGCACATTCCAGAAATGTCATTATTATCTTCAAAACAGATAGAAAAAATGCCCAAATTAAAAATGAGGACTAAAGAGTCTATTACTAAATAAAATTATAAAGCTC